AGGAAGGAAGGAAGGAAGGAAGGAAGGAAGGAAGGAAGGAAGGAAGGAACAGCAGAGACTGCAAAGAGACAGGAGCAGAGCAGGCTACAAGAGCAGCAAGGTGGCCGGCCACTTGGCAGGCTAAAAAAGAGATGAACAGCTGGCTCGACGGTCAGACTTGACAGCAGCAGAAGCAAAAACAGCTGTGAGAGCTGTTTTCCAAATGGTGGCCTGAACAAGAGGGAGGGCACAGCGTGAGAGAACACCCAGAAACCAGAGGCCATCATGTCGAGTGAAATACAGCAGGCTCAGAAAAACAAGTGTTTTCCCCTCGTGTGGAATCTAGACTAAAGGGGAAACACGGAAAAACACACACAAACAAACACAAACACACACACGAATGAAGCAGAAGGAAAACCATCTCTGGGAGAGGAGATGATAAGCAGAGGTGTTAAGAAGCAAGTAGGGTAGGTAGTTCATACTGGCAATCTTAGCACGGAGGATGAAGCAGTAGGATTCCAAGTCTGAGGACAGCCTGAGCTGTACAGTGAGGTGAAGGCCAACCTGGGATACACATGGAGACCCTGTCTCAAAAAGGGAAAAAGGAGCCAAGTGTGGTGGCGGACGCTTTTAATCCCAGCACTTGGGAGGCAGAGGCAGACAGATCTCGAAGGGTTCGAGGCCAGCCTGGTTTACAAATTGCTGCAGGACAACTAGGGCTGTTACACGGATAAACCCTGTCTCAAAAACAACAACAAAAAACCCAAACCACCTCCCCACCAAATTAAAAAGGAAAAGGAGAAAAGACCTGGCTGCCCTACTCTTAGTTTTCTCGTCGTTAACCGGTCAACAGTTTTTTTTCTCTTTAACTTTCTTACTTTACACCAAATTCTATGGTTCTGGCTTGAATTCTCATTCTTGCTGCTGTTATATGTAAATTGTTTTGTTCTTTGAGATAGGGTTTCCCTGTGTAGCCTTGGCTGTCCTGGGCTCCATTTGTGAGCTGCCATGATGGGTGCTTGGGAATTGAACCCTGGTCCTTTAGGGAGAGCAGACAGTGCTCTTAACTGCTGAGCCCTCTCTCCAGGCCCCTGGGCTTATAAACCAGGTTGGCTTACAACTCCCAGAGAGCCACCTGCCTCTGCCTCCCCAAGTGCTGGGATTACAGGCGTGCGCCACTGCGCCCGGCTTGTTATATGTAATCTTAATGGCAAACATACTTCATTATGAAACATATCTACCCAGTTATGCCCCCAGAGCTCCCCCATGAGAAAAGAATAAAACAGACCAGATATCTCTGCTCCATCTGATTTCTACAGATCAGGACAACTTGGCCTAAGACCTGAAGACCCCAGGGCAGAAGCCATTTCCTGCCCACCACAAGTGATGGTGGCTCCGACTTCCCATCAGACCTGGTGAGGGCCTGCCTCAGTTTCAAAAGCAAGCTAAAGGGTGAGCAGAGGAGCGGGAGGCAGGGCGGAGGGGCTGTGGTACCTGGGTTGGTGTTGGTTCGGTTGTCTGGATCTGAAAGTTCTGGGAAGGCTTCTGGGGAACGGTGGGGAGGGTGGCAGAGGCAGCCTGCACCACCCGCAGTGCCTGCTGGGGAATCTGCACCACCTGCTGCTGCTCGGCCTTGGGTGGCACCACCTGGACTTGCTGGACCACAGCTGGCTGGCCCCCACCAGGGCTCTGGACAATCAGCAGGTTGTTTCCCGCCTGGATGATGTTGTCGGCCGTGGTCTCTATCAGCACTGTCTCCACCTGCTCCGCCACGGCTACCGATGGCTGTGAGACCGGAAGGCTCTTCTTCCTGGCTTTTTTGTTAGTCTTAGACACTGGGGTGGGGGGGCTCTCGGTGAGGAGCTGAGCGGGGGCCCCGACGTCACTGGTGTTCACCAGGTTGCTGAGCGGCAGCGTGAGCGTCATGTTGCCGCTCCCGCCTGACAGCTTCACCATGTTGGCCCCGCTCTGCACGGGCGTGGTTGTCATGCTGAACTTCTGCACAGGGGCTGGCTTGATGGGGACGGGCTTGTTGCCGGATGGGGATGGGGTGATGATGGCTTGGTTGGTGCCTGGGATGATCTGGATCTGGCTGGTGAGATTGGGCTGCACCTGGATGGCCTGCGAACTGCTCCCTTGAATCTGAGGGACTTGGTACTGGATACTTGCATTTGATCGGCTCCCTTTGTTGATCACGGTGGGGTTCTGGATAGCAAACACCAACTGCCCTCCTGGATAGGAGGCACTCAGCTGGGAGCCTTGGATCTGAAGTATATTTCCTTTAGATGACAAGATGCCAAAGCTATTCTTGCCAGGACTGAGCGGGAGAGGGGCGGGTTTGATAGGGACCAGTTTCCGTGGGGTGGGCGGGGGGGGAGCAGGAGGCGTCACTGCAGCTTCAACAGCTGGGGGACCAATTTTGCTACAAGTCGCAGCAAGCAGGGCCAAGGGAGACGGCTGGGAGTCCTGCAAAAATCAGCAGAGGAAAGGAGTGAGATGGGACGCCTGGCTAGGTAGCCCTCAAGGTCCTCTCCTCTCCTCTCCGAGGCTCCCCGGGAGCGCTTCCCCACCCATGTGGGCGAGCTATCGCCAACACACAACACACACCCTCAGTGGTTCCGGCTGGCTTCTCCACGAACTGAAGGAAAAATGGCAGGGAAGGCCTCTCAGGGAGAGAGCCCCCGGAAGCAGCCTTGGACACAGCAGACCAACAGCATGAGCTGTTTTCCTACGGCCTTGCTGGCCTGGTGTCAGCAGGGAAATGACACGCCCAGCTCTCAGATGGAGCTCTATGAACTTAGCACAAAGGGGGAAAGGAGGGGTGATGGGGAGGGGAGATGACATGAACACCACTCAGGTGTCTTCTCGAGTCTGGCAGGCGCCGCTTGCTGACTGGACAGGCTACAATACATGGGCCTGTTCTCTCCAGGGCAGTAGGTTCTGATGGAATCCTGAGTCCCTGTTTGGTTTTTCTGGGGGTGCCATATACAAGTACGCATGTTCATGTGAAAAGGATGTGGGGGACATTTGAGTCCTTGTATGTGGAGACCAGAGGTTAAGCTCAATTCTTTTTTTTTTTTCTTCGAGACAGGGTTTCTCTGTGTAGCCCTAGCTGTCCTGGACTTCCTCTGAAGATCAGGCCTGCCTCTGCCTCCCCAAGAGCTGGGATTAAAGGCCCGCATCACGGTGCCCAGCTTAAACTCTTACTCTGTTACTCTCTACCTTGTTTTTTAAACTATTTATTCAATGTGTTTGGGCATTTTGCCTATACGTATGTCTGTGTATCACTCAATACTTGATGCTCTCAGAGGCCGAGAGGGTGTCAGATCTCCTGGAGGACTGTGAGCTGCCACGTGGGACATAATCAAGCCGGGTTGTCTGAAGAGCAGCCGGTGCTCTTTCCCACTGAGCATCTTCCCCAGCCCTCCACCTTCATTTCTGAGTCAGGGCCTCTCACTGGATCTGAAGCTCAGTGCCTGGGCAGGACCAGTTGGCCAGTGGACCCCAGAGATTCTTCTGTTTCTGCCTGTCTAGCGCTGGGATTACAGGCATGTACTGCCAGGCCCAGCCTTTCACACGGGTGCTGGGGACTGGACTCAGGAATTCATGCCTGGGCAGCAGGGATCTTACCCACAGCCATGGCCCCAGCCCCAGGAATGCCAGGTTGAATACTGCTCTCTCTGCCTGACCCAACTTTGACATCTTAGGCAAGTGACTATGTCTTAGTTTAGAAAACGAGGATAAGTGAACCTCCCCGGGTGTTTGCAGTGAGAGCCAACAGGTTCTGAGTGAGGTAGAAAAATCCAGTTCAGTGATCCACCCAGGCTCTGGCCCCTGCCCTCAGAGCCCACTGTGCACTTGCCTGGGTAGTAGCGGCAGCAGGCTGCAGGTAGTCACTGGGACTGACAGCAGCGGTGGCAGCCATGCTCATCTGTGGAACTATTGGGAGAAAGACGGAGCAAATATAAGACACCTGAAGAGAACCTGAGGCCCCCTAGCTTCAGCGTTGCTTTTTGCCTCTCCTGCTGCTTCTCTAAGAGGCTGACAGCCCCATGCTTGTCAGGGGTGACCTTCTCCTCTGCTCACACTCACCTGTTCAGGCCGATCTGCCTTCGCCACATTGTCCCCACAGCCACCTAAGACTGGGAGAACTGGGAGACTCCTGGACAGAAGGAGGTCTAGTTCAGGGCTGGCTATGCTGGGTCCGGAGCGCCCCCTGGTGGATGCTGGTGCTCTGAGTCTCTCCGTTAGGGGCGGAGCAGCTGTAGCTAGATGCGACCCAGTCAGGGAGTGAAGGAAGGCTAGGGCAGCATTCCTGAGCAAGAGGACACAGCTGTCTTATTCTAAAGGCTGGATGCGCAGCCTTCACACACGGGCCGCCAAGAACCAGTAGATGGCAACTGGGTAATTCCTTTAAGTCAATGGTTCTCAGTCGGGGTGGCGGCGACCCATGTGGCAAACCTCTGTCTCCAAAAGTATTTACGCTTCATAACAGTAGCAAAATTACAGTGATGAAGTAGCAGCAAAATAATTTTATGGTTTGGGGCCCCAGCATTAGTAAAGTTGAGAACCACTGCTTTAAGTGGATTTACACCTTTATGCAGGACAACTGATGTGACCCCAGAGGTCACCGGCTAGGCAGGGCTAACAGCAGCATGTGAGAATGAACATCAAGCGAATTCTATCTTTGTGTGTATACAGTTATATCTGACCGAATTTTCCCATTTTTTTTTTTCATTTTCCCAAAATTAGATGGTTGGCCTCCACGTCCATAGGTTCTGTAGCCACAGAATCAACTAACCATGCATCAAATATGTTGGTGTGACATACTCTGGTGATGATCTGAAGAAGCTGTGTAGCTTGTATGTAAATTCTACACATTATATCAAAGCCTTGAACACCCAGAAGCTCCTGGGACCAATCCTCTGTGCGTGCTAAGGGACCACTGTATTCTCTCATCATTTTTAATTTTAATTTTTACTTTATTTGAGACAGGGTCTTGCACTGTATCCAGGTTGGCCTGGAACTCATCCCTCAGCCTCTCAAGGGCTGGGATTGCAGGTGTGTGCCCCTGTGCCCAGCTGCCACTTACTTGCAGTAGGGGAGGGACTAACAAAGGAAGTCTCTACCTTGCACTTGAGTTTGATTTAGAAGGGAAACAAGACTGAAGGCTGGGGTGATGGCTCAGTGGTTAAGAGCACTGGCTGTTCTTCCAGAGGACCCAGTTTCGATTCCCAGCACCCACTCACATGGTATAAAACATACATTCAGGAAAAACACCTATACACATACAACTTTAAATGAATGAAAGTTAAACAAGAGGCTGGGCGTGGTGGCAATGCCTTTTCATCTCAGCACATGGCAGGCAGAGGCAAGTGGATCTCTATGAGTGTGAACCCAGCATGGTCTACAAAGGAAGTTCCAGGCCAGCCAGGACTACATACTGAGACCATTTCTAAAGACAAAGGAAAATGGAAAGATTCTGCCGTTGTAGAGTTCATAAATCACTAAAGCAAAGCACCCTGGGCAGTCAGGCTTGTATTCCAGACATCTGGAAACCAAACTCCAGGAAACAGAGATGGGGAAGATTGCTTGGAAGACTCAAGGGACAAAGACTCAGGAACTGAGCCCATGTCAGGAATCTGGTGAGGCCAGAGATCAGGGAGAAAACACTATCATTCATGTTTTCTCAGGCCTCTGAAAGAGAAAGGGCAAAGAGAAACAGACAGGCTGGCTGGTCAGGAGGCAACACAGTGCCTTCAGCGGTCACCAGCCTGGAGTCCATGAGTAGATGCTGCCAACCGTGAAGAACCAGAGGACAGCTCTAGGCACAGTGGACACATAGATCCTAGGACATTACAGACGCTGGTCTCTGCAGAACCGCTGCGATTACTGAAAAAGCAGCGAGAGATGAAAGCGAGCAATGGCAGAGAGCAGCCCCTAAGCACAGCTCAGCTGCTTTTAAAGGCTCATTTTGTTTCAACTGACATTAAAATGCTTGTAGTATTTTTGTGTAGGGGGGAACAGAGGCAGGATGACAACAGTTTGGGGACTCACGGTTGGTGGGTAAGGGCCAAGGTACCTAACTCAGACTGGGGCTCAGGACCCCGGAACAGCCATCTCAGGTCTTTTGACAGCCATGCTTTCCTTACGGTACTTGTCCTGTCTCAATTATTTATTTACTTACTTACTTAGTCTCCCACTAGTCTAGTCTTTGCCTCATGGCTAACAAAAACTATTTTAAAAACACTAAAAATTCCAATTATAGGACAAGAAAAACAACATACCTCGTGTACTATTTCACCTGCTGGGCTTTATTCTAAGGGGCATCTCCAATGAGAGACTTTGAGGGTTCTGACTAGGGTACTTACTCTGCAAGTAAAGGGGCAGATCAAGCCACCCGGGGGGATGCCCAAGAAGCCAGATTTTAAAATTCTGTTCAATTCAAAGACACCTTTGAAAGGCAGAACCAGCTGCCTCTGAGGGTGATGTCCTCCTTTCTCTGCAACTGTTTGACCAGAGGCAAGATGTATATTCTAGAGATGGAATACAGAGGTGTGGTGAGAAGCTGGACTAAATTTTCTCTCAAATGTTTTCCCTTCTGAGGTACAGGGGTGTCCATCAGTGGGAGAGGCCTAACACGGGCAAGGTCCTTGGTTACATTACCAGCACAACAAATCAAGAAACCCCAAATTTTTTCAGACCATGTCATGCTGATAAAAACACAAGATGAGTTAATTGCTGGCAGAACTGGGAAGGCAGGCAGCTGGTCTCCTAAGAAGCTCTCAAGGGTTCAAGTTCACTTAACAAAACTGGGTGGAAAATATCCTTACTGTGTTATGAAACGCAGGGACACTGCAGCAGGGCAGAGTGCAAAGGAAGTGAAGACTGACGAGCACTTCCCAAGCAGTTCTCGCCCTCTGTTGTCACTGAGCCTAGACTCAACTGTTTGAGACCTGGTTGGGCTCCAAGCACCTCAAGTTAGAGCAGTGGTTCTCAATCTGTGAGTCGTGAGTCAGACAGCCCTTTCCTTACATACATACATGATGTATGTAACATCATGATTCTTAACAGCAGCAAAATGACAGTTATGGGGTAGAAATGAAATCGTTTTATGGCTGGGGGTCAGCACACCATGACAAACTGTATTAGAGGTCGTTAGGGGGCTGAGCACCATTGAGTCAGAGCTTAGAGCAGCACCTCTGAGGCAAGCTGAGGCTGCTGGTGCTCCCGGCTGTGGCTTCTCATTTTGGCTTCATTTTCCTCCCTAGCTGGCTCCTGAACTTTAGTCTAAACCCACTGTAAGTGTGTCCCCTACTGTCAGCGAGAGCTCTATGTGGTCCCTGGGCTGCAGACCTGGGCGATCAAAACGGAACCATTTTCCTGCCGCTGCAGAATTCTATTCTGGAAAGAGAAAGAGGGGAAAAGAGAAGCTTGTCCAGGCGATGTGTGAAAGCAGTTAAGGAGAGGCAGATACACAAACGTAGTTCCGAGCGCACCCTCGTGTCACTTGGAACCTTGTGTTTAAACGATATAATGTGGACGTGAGCGATGCTTACCTTTTCCTCCATATGAGTCAAAGCACTACTAAGTGGAATAGAGGGCCGCAGAGGGACGCTTAGACATAATTCTGTAATTGCTTCAAACCGCTTCCACTAGGCTACACATTTTCCTTTTTGTGCTAGGGGCTGGGCCCAGAGCCTCACACGTGCTGAACGAATGTTCTGCCTCGGAGCTGTCTCCAGAACACCCGCCATTTGAACAGTACCACTGGCCTGTAACAGCAGTTCATACTTGGTCACGGAAGCCTACAGTTTCGCAATACGGATAATAAAAATTACTGAGTATTTCTTCTCTTTTACATTCATTTCTTTTGTGTGTGTTTGTGTGCATGCAGGTATGCACAGTGACGTGGGAAAGAACAATTTGGGAACCAATTCTTTCCACCGTGTGGGTTCCAGAGACTAAACTCTGGTTATCAGGCTTGGCAGCAATGGCCTTACCCGCCTAGCCGTGTGACACACACTCACTGGATATTCTTGAAAGAAAAAAAGTGTGTCTCTCAGTTATATCATCTGGATCTTGTCATTAACTCATCTCAGCTAAAACGTCCCCAAGTGTCTAGGCTGGAGTCTGGCAGTGATCTAGGATGTAAGGTATGAGCAGTACATTAGCCCTAAGGAAAAGTCTGGAGGCGACTCAGCAAGGCAGCAGGGAGGACGGAGGACCACGTGACTGAGGGACTGTAAAGAACCCAGGACGTTCAGAAAGGCACCTGACCTCCAAGATTCTCCAGCCTCACCTCCTGTCCCTCCAGCACAGCCTTCTTCTCCTGCCTCCTTGGTCAAACCTGGCAGAACGCATTGCCATCCCTCCATACCCCATCCATACTGTGCCAGCTGCTTCTACCAGGTCCCCACAGACCCCTCTGGTGGCTGCCTCCCCCTCTAAATTCCTGTGGGCTCTTCCGCCTTTGCCACTTAAATACTGACATTGCTCACAAGTGTCCTTTCTCCTCACCCAAGATCCATTTCCTTGGAGGACCGTGTCCATTCACGTGGCTTCAGGTGGCTTTCCAGAGGCTTACTCCCAGGTCTGTGTTCAGCCCCTGTGCGCCTTCACTAGGTCAGCTAGGTCAACCCTGAGCATTCTCTCCTGGCTTGTTCATTCTTTCCCCTCCCCAGCCTCCCCAGCCCTCCCTTTGGATCCCAGGAGCTTATCTCTGCTGCCTTTCCTTTGCTTAGGGCTCTTCTGACTTTTCTGGCTAACGCTGCACCTTTAGGCCGGTTTTTATTTTCCTCCTTAGCAACATTTATTGACAGCCATTTTATAACAGGTATTTCATGTTCTTGGGGTCCTTTCTGGACTGAGAGGAAGTCAGGTCCCTTGCTAGCATGCAGCACCCATTACAGTGAGGGCAGGCCTGCAGGATGGAGTAAGGACCTGCTTTTATGAGTGAGCTGTTTTTCTTCACAGAATTGCTGATACCAGACAGAAGTGGGGGTGGGAGAAGGGGGGGGTTCCGGGTACAGGGGCAGCTGTAGTTCTCGGGGAGGGGGGGAGAATACGGGAATCTTTAGAATGTCCAATCACAGCAGAAGCCGGAGCATCGCCCTCCCGGAGGATAAGTAGGTCCTCAACTTTCTTACAAGTCTCTCTCCTTTCTACTTACTAGTCCCATGGCATGGTCCCTGCTTAAATTACCCTCAGCTCAGGCAGAACTCTCACCCACAGGCTCCAGGGCAGCTTCCAGCCTCTGGCTCGCTCCCTTTATCCAGCCAGTTCGCTTTTAGAACTGTAAACCCAGAATCCTATCCAGCCATCCCCTGGACTACTCCCCTCCTGCGGTTTTAGAAGCTCTTCTGATAAGCTTAGAAGAACCGAGCACCCCCCCCCCCATTTTTTCTCTTCCTGGGAGCCTGAAGAAGGAGCTCTCCCTTTGGCCATTTATAATCGCTGGAGGTTGTTTCTCACTTACTCTCTAGAAGCAGATGACCTTGCTGGGTGCCAGCACACACTCCCGTGGCACCCTTGGCAACGCTGGCCTCACCCCAGGGTAGGGAGCATAGCTCTATCCTGGGGGCAGGGGGTGTCTTTCTCTGGCGGACTGGATTGGGAGAGCATGATCTAACAGGAAGGACCCTAGAGCCCTGGCTATCAGGCTGTCCCAGAGTGGACGAAGGCTCAAAGTCCACACCTAGACCCTAGGCTACTGGGCTTTTTTTTTTTTTTTTTTTAACCTTCCCAGCAGCTATGGCTTCCTTGGCCCTCCACTGTGGTATTTCTCAGCAGGAATTTCACTCTGCACAAACAGTCCTTCTGGTGGCTATTTTGGTCAGTCTGCCTGGGCCAGAAGCCAGTAAGGCAGTTTCTAAGGCCAGGCTTTCCCAGTTGCCTAGCCTGGAAGAATTCGAGCTGGTGAGGGAAAAGCAAACCATGGCTGGTTTTAAAGAACAAAACTGGCCAATCAGCCTGGACAGAGGAGGGTGGAGGGAACGAGCTGGGCTGTGGCAGACTCCAAACTGCCCGGACAACAGAACGCCCAGCAACCACACACAGGAAGATCACGTTCACGCCTCTCAGTGCAGAACTCTTAGGCAGAGGCTGCTAAAGCCACAGGCCAAAAGGAGAGAAAAGATATCCTCTCCATCCCACCCTGACATGACAACTCAGCCATAACCCTGAGATGCACACACTCTATCAACAAGTGACCCTTCCAGGCCAGGCGAGATGGCACATGCATTTAATCCCAGAGGCCAGCCTGGTCGACAGAGAGAGTTCCAGGACAGCAAAGACACAGAAAAACACAGTCTCAACAGAACAAAACAATCAAAAGTTACGCTTCCTTCCTGAGCTGCAAGTCCTAACCTCTCAAGCAAACTCCCCAGCCAGTATGTACAGCCAGCTCCTTACTCCTGTGGTTCAACGTAACATTTTTTTTACATTTTAATCATATTTTACTCATATGTACACATGTGTGAATTTTGTGTATGGCTATGCACATGCCATGGCCAACATGTGTGGGTCGGGGGATTGAACTCAGCCAAGTACTGATGTGACAGCACTGAGCTAACGCCCTTAAGCACTGAGCTAACCTGCAGGCCTCCAACTTTTCAGCGTTACAGTACACGAAAGCATGCTCACAATTACGTTTTCTAGTTTTAGTACAGTGTTCAGTGGGTTACGTGAGGTACATTTCATTATAAAATATTTTGCGGCAAATGACTTTGTCCAATTTTCGGCAAACCAAAGTGGTCTTTCTTCGGTGTTGGGAGACAGGCTGGCCTGTCTCAAACGTAGTCCGGGCTGGCCTCAAGTTCATTACAGAGCCAAGGATGACTCCTGACCCTCCTGCCTCCACCTCTGGAGTGCTGCGAATACAGATGTGCATCACCACACCTGGTTGGATTTTTTGTTGTTCTTTGTTTCTTGAGACACAGTGGCTTCGAACTCAGAGAGATCCACCTGCCTCTGTCTCCCAGGCCCTGGGAATACAGGTGTTTGCCACAACGCCCGGCTTAGACCTGGTTCTTAAACCCAGGGCTTCACCCATGCAAGTATTCTACCAGTGGAACTACACCCCCTTGCTGAAATATTTGAAAGGTTAGGTAGACTAAAATGCATGTGTGACTGACAAATTTTTCAAGTCATTATAAAGAAATAGCCTTATCTTAAGACGAGGAGGCTCTGTGCTTGCTGTTCCTAATTACTCCCAACAGCCGTTCTTGAACTTGGCTCCACTCAGGTTGGACCATTCTATTCTTGCTACCAAAATTGCTAATGCTACCAGACCTCATGTTACCGAATCTGATGCTAACTCCTAGACCTGACCCCTTATTTTTTGCGCTCAGACAGCTGACTGTTCTTGGTCCTTGAAAACAGTCTGATGGTTCCCAAGACAGCCTCCTACCTTGTAGGCTACATCTAAAGCTCTGATGGTTCTTCTCCTTTCTAAAAAGGTCACCCCCAACTCCACTTCAGGACCTATATTTCTTCTGTCTGTAACTATTTGCTAGTGATTTCACTACTCTCGTGGCTTTCAAATCCATGCTACATAGATACTGTATAATGATCGCCCCTGAATTTCCTGTCTCCAGACTCTGCCTCCTGCCTGATGCTGACATCCTCACTTGGACATTAGTGGACATCTGGAATCTAACCAGCCCTGAATAAAGTTTCCGAGAGCTCCTAATTCCATCCTTCCTTCAAGCATTCCCTACTGCGATGAATGCAAACTCCATCCTTCCGCTCAACCCTACGACCTTGGAATTAGCTTTGACTTTTGTTTTTCCCACGTGTGAGAGTAAACACTTCAAGCTTTAACTTCAAAACACATTCCAAATACACGGGTTTTACCACCACAGTCATCATCTAATCCATGTCTGCCATCTAGACAACTGAGAAGGCCACTGAGCTTCTAACCTTGACCCTGTCAATTTTCAACACATCAAACATAGATGAAGCCGCATCACTATTCTGTTCAGAGGCCCTCAATAGCATCCCATCACAGAGCCAAAACTATAGCCATCACACAGAGGCCTGAGCCACCTGACTTCGTGGCCTCCTTCCCTCACTGCTTTAGCCATGCTGTCCTCAGCACCAGGTCCTACGGCTGGCTCCCGAGTCCGCTTGGGTTCACCTTCCTCCTTTCACTCTAGACAGAGCTGGCTCAACCCCCTTCACTCTTTCAGGGTTTCATGAAGTCTCCTCACCAAGACTGCCCCTGAGCACCCTGCCTCTCCCACACATTTTCCCTACCCTCCCACTCTATTTTTAGCCTTAGCACTTATCACTTTCCAACAAGTACTTATTAGTTACTTAATTACTGTCTCATTAAGAATGCAAATTTCCTGAAGGCAAGAGTTTTTCTTTTACTCCCTGATGTACTCTAGAGCCTAGCACACAGTTGGTGCTTTACATATTTGTTTAATAAATCCATGAATAAATGAATCATGAAGGAAAGCAAAGGGAGAGGACCTACGTGGAGTCTAAAAACCAAAGGACGGCTGTGCTGCAGCTCAGCTGCTGCGATGCTTTCCTAGCATGCACCAAGCCCTGGTTCCGTCCCCTGAACCCAAAGAAGTGTGGTGGTGCCAGTGTGAGCTGCAGCAGGTCAGATGCTTCACTGAGAGGACATCAACCCCACAGATGGCACTACAGCCTCAAGCTACACTTCTACCCTTTCCAATTAGCATGGGGCATGGGGCACCAAGGTAAGACCACGAGAGTGTCTGAGTGCGAACCCTCAGTCTGTCCCGTTCCTGACTTCCTTTCCTTTCCACGTGACTGCTGTCACTCCTAGTTTGCTTGTTGCCTGGGTCACAGGGCATGAGTGTGGGGGCAATGGGATGATGGGAGCTCTTCAGCTCAAGGGAGGCAGTCCCAGGAGACCGTGCAAAGCCATTCTGCTGAAGGATACTGGGACTCAGAATTAGGTCGTAGAGAACAGGAGAAATAGAAGCTCCCCCAAGAATCTCCTTATGCACAAACAGGCTGCCTTCTCTGTTTGGGCAATGTATTTGGGGAGCTCTGAGCTCCCCCAGGCTAGGATCAGCTTCTGAAATGACTAGTGACTTCATTTCCCTGGAAGAGACGGAGGCTGGCTTGCCACTTACTCTTCTAAACCTGGGAAACATCTTCATCTGTTTTTTCAGTCATTGTTTTGTTTTGTTTTCTCTCTCTCCAGTTTCCAATTAAACATAAACCTGAGGCCGAACTATTTCTCTTCTAATCACATGACCCTACTAGCTGTTTCCTAATCTCTATTCACAGACTCAGGAACCACCCTGTGATTTTACCAAATTCCTCAGAGAGGTGACAACCCCGATGAGGGTGTTCTAGAAAGACATTTAGAAATGTGCAGTGACCGCTAACTCTGAGCCACTTTTGCCCTGCGGCTGAGGTGAATGGCGCCTAAGGGACCTAAATCGCCATACAGAGGCAAAATGGCATCTCAGGGGACCTAGCCTTGGCTACCCAAGCTAAACCTCTGCCCTGTAATGCAGCAGCTGCTGGCTGAGCACAGCAGCAGTCCTGACGCTGAAACCACGGCAGCTAAGGGAATGAGATGCCCATCATTGGACTCCAGCGACTGGGCTTAAGCATGCTTGTGTGGCGATGTGACAGTCTTTCCGTCTCAACACTGCCGGGAGCTCTCTCCAGGGCACACAGAGAAGCCCATTCATAGCCCCTGTACTAAGCAATAGCTCACCTCTCTAGGGCATGCCAGCCTGGAGTGTACTCTTAGGAAAAGTGCGGTGCTGTCTGTGATAGTGACAGAGTGTTTCCCAAGTACATGCTGAGAGAGGTCTGGCTACCCAAGATGCTGGTGTCAACTCTGAGCTTGCTCCAATGGTTTGCTTTTTTTTTTTTTTTTTTTTTCTTCAGGATCTCAGGAAGCAGTAGAAAAAATATTCTATTTCACCGTTTGTCAACTAGAACAAATCCACCATGGCGCCAGGGAGCATCTCCTCAAGAATGACCACAGTGCCTTTCCTACTTCCTCTGACTCATCCTATACTTTTAATCTCTTCTTTTACCTTCCCACCAGGCTTCAAAAGATCCCTCCTAGAACGTGAAACCCCACTGCCCTAAGGCCCTTGGGAAAGTTGCTCATGAAAACACCTGTTGGTTATGAGGAAAGCACCTGAAAAGACAGACCTGCAACTACAGAAACAAAGCCTGGAAAGCTGGATATGAAGGGAAAAGGGGAAGAACCACAGGGGGCAGATGAGCCTGGCAGGAATACCAACAGCTCCTGTGGCACCACAGTTCTCAACCTACAGACACTCCTTTGGTCCACCGTGTGGGTATAATCTCCTTGGTTTTGTCTCTTTGAGACAAGATAGTATATAGCCCAGGCTAACCTGCAACTCACTTAAGTAGCCTAGGGTGGACTTGAACTCTCAGACTTGCTGCCTCAGTCAGGAATGTTAGGATTAGGTGCATCACCACAGCCAGCTTGAGTTCCTGCTTTAGAACACCCTGGGAAGAGTTCACAAATCCCCCAAAAGGAGAGTCCAGACATGCCACCAGTAAACATTCGAGGATGTGTATGACCGTCTCCAAACAGATTACTTCACGCTCATGGCCCCCTTAAAATTACGCCATGGAATCAAACTAGTAGTGCTCATTTTTGAGTGCTCTATACAACCTTCACATCAGTGTCTCTCTTGTCTCTTCCACTCTGTGGCCATTATCCACTTGATCCAAAACAATGACTAATATTTTCAGTCTGGAAGCAGAATTTCCAGTTTGAGTGTAGATGGAACAGAGAAGAGAGGGAATAAAGGTAACTTGAAAAAAAAAAAAAGGCCCATTTCTATCACAGAAATGGGAGTGGTCAGGGTCTAGAAAACTGCTGAGCCCACATCTATACTGGAGTCTACAAGAAGCTTTAAAAGCTGTTGTGAGGCCCATGTTTGGGCAATACTTGCTTAAAGCTTGGGGGTTGCCACATAGCTGCCAGTGGTTAAGGGCTCGTCAGTGCTTGGTACAAGAGTAACTTCTCCAAAACACTTAAACACCAGAGGAACTAAGATGTTCAAGAGCAAAATACTAACTTCCCCACCTGCTGGAAAAGCACAGGCTTTTTTACCCAAACATCTTCCATGATCTATTCACTGACTCCCCCCCCCCCCCCGTGTGTATTTCTCTCCTTCCACCATGTGGGAATGAAGAACTGAGCTCAGGTAATCAGACTGGATAGCAAGTGCCTTTACCCACTGAATCACCTCACTGACCCTGGCCCAAAGTTGAAATCAAAGCTAAGAAGAGCCAGTCTATATGATGTCAACAGGGATGCCAAACTCTTCCTCTAGAGCCGGCTGGGTGCTGGGGAAGATCCAGTTATGAACAAACCCTAGTTAGTTCTCTTTGGCAAAGTGTCTGTGCCTGTAGCAACCTAGCTCAGGGCTCATACTGGTGCTAGAGCAGCTAATTTTCCCTTGTTGCTGTTGCTTTTAACCAAAGAGGGAAGTCTCTGTACAAGCAAGGAAAAGAACTAGAACCAGAAATCGCATCAGTCACCTCAAAGATAATTCGTACTGACTGGGACTGTCTGTGTGGTCACTAGAAACCGGCCAAATTGGTACACACCTATAACCCCAGCTCTTGGGAGGCTGAGGATCTCAAGTTCAAGGCTTACACAGATTACAGTGTGAATACATGCCAACCAGGGCTTCACGGAAGACCACGTTTCAACACCCTTCCCCCTAAAAAGAAGCCACTGGAACACTGACACAAGCCTTATGGATGGGTTCTGAGATCTGCTCCTTTCACTGTCATGAGGAATTTAAAAGAAAACAAGCCTCTGCAGTTAGAGTCATCGCCATAGACAATGGATTTCTTTGTGTCAGTAATGGAAAAAGCTGCTGCTGCGGTCTGGGCTCCACCGTTCCCTCGACTACTTCACTGTGTGCCTGCTCACCCTAACCTCTCCAGCCCTGAAACTCCTACCCAAGCTGCGGGCTGAAGACAGAGCTCAGCGGGAGAGGTGCCTATCTAGCATTTGCGAGAATCTAGATTCAACCTCCAGCACCCCCAGAGGTCAACTCCGGGCTCTGCCCTCCTCTGCAATGCCCGGAACCTTCCTGGGCACCGCAGGGAACAGTTTGTCGACAGCGCCTGCCAGTACACACTGAAACATCAATTGCCCCTCTGTAATGAAATCTGTGCAAGGGGGGCTCTTGGGCCAATTCGTGGCTCACAGACCACGGACCTTTCTCCAGAAAGCAACAAATAAATGATCCACTAACCTCCTAAAAAAAACTGAAAAGTTCAGGAGAAGAGCCAAACGGAGTGCCCTTGGATCAAGCTAATAACGAAGCGCTTAAACACGACAGACTATTGGAATCAAAACCAAGGAATGCAGCGAGGACAGGTTTCTCAATTGCCCAGGGCAGAAGACACTTCCTTTTGTACTAAAATTAGAAAGGCACTGGGAAAGAAACCTAAGAAGGGAGGGAGGAAGCTGCGCACCAGTAAGTCTGGCAACGCAGACGGAGGAAGAAAGCGAACATCTATTTTACTTCTTAGGTCATCTCTTAAGAGCAAATAAGCGCCTACGCTTTCTTGGAATTTCAGTGCATTTTTTTTTTTTGGCCCCGCAAGGGGCATCTGGAACTCTGTCAACAAGTTCTCAAACTTCTCGAAATTCCAAGAGCTTGCAGATACCTAGCCCTGCGGGCTCAAGGGTCCAGGCGCAAACAGTTAAAAGTCGGTTTTCACTCGGCAATCATGCGCCTGGGGAGTTGCCCTCCCGCCCTAACCACCGCCCGGGACTGCGCGGGGCGTCGGACAGCCGCTTAGACCGGCAGTGCCCGTCGGCTCGGCCCCGCCAGGAGGGATCTCAAGTGTTGTCTGCCCGACCACGGGGCGAGCGCAGGGGGCGTCGGCCGCCAGCGCGGAGCAGACTCGGGTGTACGCTGCAGGCCCGGCGCGACCCAGCCAGGGGGGCGGGAGGGGGTCCGGCATCGCCCCGCTGCCCGCGCCGCCTGCCAACCCCGGAAGCGCCGCCCTCCCGCCCGGGGCTCCGAGGGGCGGGGAGTCTAACGCCCCCTTCCGGGTGCCTCCGCCCGGCCGGCCAGCCGCGCTCCTCCTCCGGGCGGGAATCCTTCCTCCCCCGCCCCTCCCGTAGCCGGGCCCCGGCGCCAGCCCCAGGCCCCGCGGGGGCGTCCCTGGCTCCGGCCTCCCCTCCCCGAGGCCTCTGCCCGTCTTCCCGACCCTTGAGGGCCGGGAAGACCCCACCGGCAGGGGCCAGGACCCACCGCTCATTACGACATCTTCCTCCCTGGCCTCCGCCGCCTCCGCCGCCACCGAGAGCCTGACACCGCCCGCCTAGCACCCGCCAATCCTGGAGCCCGCCGCCGCCCGAGCGACGGCGGTTCCCACCAATAGGCGCTCAGGACACTGAGGACCGACAGCATTTTCAACCCATCATTGGGGAGCATCTAGAGTGACGTTGGTCTGGCCAATAGGGCCGCGGCGTGTCACTGATGGACGGTAGTGGGCGCCAACCGGAAACCAACCGGGGAATGAACGACGTGTCCATTAGCCAACTGGCGGGAGGCTAAGTCCCGCCCGCTCGGGGGTTGATGGACAGCAACAGGAAGTTGGGTGGGGCGGGGCTTAACTGAGAAGTGGCTCTGTATTGGCCGCAGTTGACCTTCCACCCACCTCTAACCCAGGAGATGGGTGATAGATCCTCCCTAAAGCCAATCAGAAGTGCTGCTGGGAGGCCGAGGAAAGAGCCGTGGAGAGCTTAGACGTCTCTCTCGGTAGCCTGGCGTCGAGACGCTCTAGTTGTAGCTGTTGGATACGGGGTACCCGGCGCCGGGTGAGCGCATCGCCTTCACTGCAGCCCCGCGCCCCCCAAGCCCCTGGCCCGCCGTCGCCTATGGAGATTCGATTCCCTATGGCGCTTTCCAGAGGGGATGTCATTATATAATTTCAACGCCCTGTTAGTTTTCATCGGTGTGTCGCAGAGGGCCCCCTGCCCCACACGGCTCCAGACGGGCACATCGGAATCCTCTGAACTGTTTCCAAAACCAGATTCCCAGGGCATTTCGTAATCACTTTGCTACTTCTCGGGCGTGCCTAGAATCTGCATTTTAGCCTGCGCCTCTGGGGAGCAGAATTGCACGCTGGAGTCCAAGGTCCCCTGCTTGTTCTCTTGCCTCAGTTCCTCCAGGGTGAGGTCCTGCGTTTGGTGGGTTTATCTTTCTCTTCAGGCCCTTCTTTGCAAACGACTAACTTGGGTAGGCACCAGTAGTGAAACCTTAGACTTTTAAGCCAGGCTGCTCAGACCTTCGTCTCCGAGTAGTGCGATTCCTGATTTTTTGTTTTTTTTAACCCACAGTGAGAACATTGTTTTACCTCCTGTAAATCAGCTTAACAAAGCTTGCAAAATGGACACTTGAAAGACACTGACCAAGCTAGGTGGTGGTGTTGTGCACGCCTTTAATCTCGGGATTAGATCTCAGGAGATGAGGATCTCTGAGTTTGAGGCCAGGTCCGTCTAATCTAGGACAGCCAAGGCTACCCAGAGAAACCCTGTCTCGAAAACCCAAAAAAAAAGACACTGATCATAGGTAGATGTACAACGCTTAAACACCCCTGCTGGGATCTCACTTGGACCTTTTGTGATGCTGAGCTCGAACCCCAAACACTAGGCCTCAGCTTTTCTCACTGAGCTATTCCCCCAGCTCTCAATACATTTTCTCTTAGCCTCTCCTATCTTCCTTTTCCTCCTTCATTCTTTCCTTCCAGTCAGTGAAGGAAAGTATACTGAGATAAAAGTGACCCAAAAGACACAGCCAAATGCTTAGAACGTAGCGAATCTGAATTACCACACTGCCTGTCTCTGGTTAGCTTTTGAAAGACCAAACTTTAGGTGCTGTGAGTCTTGTAGCTAAAGACATGTCGCAGGGGTCTGGGAAGATGTCTCTTGCTGCTCGAACGTGAGAGACCTGAGCTCAGGGCCCATGTGAGCAGATGGAATTCAGCGTCTAACGCGGTTGCTCACTGTGAGCTTGGGGCGGGGACTGGAGGATGGCTGGGGTTTGCTGGCTGCCAACCTAGCTCCAGGCTCTGTGAGACACAGCAATGGCAGGACACCCAGTATCCTGCCCTGGCCTCCGGGTGCCCACGTATGACAGACACCATTCCTTCTTCGAGGTTCTGTATCCTTTATAGAGTCAAATCTTTCGCTTAAGCCAGCTCCTTCACACTTGCACCCCCCCCCCACACCCCCTCTACCCTCTCAAGGAAAAGTGTCACAGCCCCTAAACACATAGGTTTCTTTCTCACAAGTTCCCTTTCTTTTGTCCTAGTAAACTCCATAAAGGCCCTGATGAGATTTTCTTCTCTTCACTCCTGCCCAGTCAGGCTCTGTCTCGTTCTTGCCCCACTGAACGGTCATATGGAAAGGGCTTCCCTCTCGCTCTTTGACTTCTGTTTGATTCTGTGCTAGGAATCAAGCCCGGGGCCTCCCACATTCCAGGCAGTCTCCAGCACCCAGCCCCATTCTCCCTCACAGTGGGAGGACTGATTCTCCAAAGAAGACGACCAGGAAACGTTCAAGAATGACTTTGCATACACTTGCATCTGCGTAAGACTTGTTTAGCCCATGCGTTCTGTTCCCAGGCCAGTTTCCAGTTTGGCTTGCTTCGCTGCCGTGCAGCCGAGGACTCCGCCCGGATTCCGTGACTCAGCTGCTTTAGGGTGCAGGGGTTTTGGTGGGGAGGTGGGGCTTGACTATCCTGCCGGGTGGCTGTCAGACCTCTCCTAATACAAATAATACCCAGAGGCCCTACCATGAAGAACAAGTGAAGCATGCCGGTGGGAGACAGTGCGAAAAGCTAGAATTCGCCAGTAGTTTTTTGGTTGGTTGGTAACTTGTTTCATTTTTGAGACAGGGTCTCAAACAACCAACCTTGCCTGGAACTCAGGATCCTTCTGCCTTCACTTCCCAAGTACTAGGATTATTGGTATGGGCCAAGAGACCCAGCTTGCACCAGTAGTTTTAAACTGAACGATTCTGCCTTTAGACAGGGTTTCTCTGTGTAGCCCTGGCTGTGGGGAACTCATGCATGTGGACCAAGCTGGCCTTGAACTCAGAGATCCACTTGCCTCTGCCTCCCAAGTGCTGGGAATTAAAGGTGTGTTTGTTTTGTTTTGGCTTATTACTCTTACTAAAGGCATGGAAAAAGATGGGGTTTTTTTGTTTTGTTTTGTTTTGTTTTTTGTTTGTTTGTTTGTTTATTTTTGCCCCTTGTGGTACTGGGAATTGAATCCAAGGCCTCGTGCATGCTAGACCAGCACTCAACAGACCCACATCCTCCGTCCTGCCCAATGGAGTCTTTGAAGTTCATTCATAAGCCCTCTCAGACCACCACACAAATTCTTTTCTCACAGATCTTCCCCCCCCCCCCCAGGTTGTCCTCTCTCCCAAGACAGGGAAGAGACTAGACAGCAGACTCTACAGTGCTGGTTCCTCCCTGGCCACCTGTCTGCTGGGATGGAACGCAGAGCCTTGTACACACTGAGCAAGTGCTCTACCCCTGAGCTACACCTTCAGACTCCTGACCATACTTCCCGCTCAGCAGAGAGCCTTTTCCCCAGTTCTGAACCTGGGCTCCTGTCCCGTCCCAGGAAGCCAGTCCCTAGAATGGCACCAAGCACCTGTATGAAGAAGGACCCCAGATAATTCACATGTGTAAACAAAGCTCAAAAGCGCTCCTTCACCAGAGGCTCTGAGACAACCAACCCCCGCCCCTCCCTCTCCGAGTATCTCCTTGTCCCACCCTACCTGCAGTGGTATGTGGAGAGTAAAGGCGGTTAGGCGGTTCCGGCTGAGTCTTCCCACATCACCCGGGATGCCATCTTGTCCCTGGCAGGCCTGGAGGCTGGGAGGCTCCCTCAGAGCTGCCCCCAGCTGCTTTCAGCCTCTTCCTAGTCCAAGGGGCCACTCTGTCCCCATTTCTAGCGTGCAAAGTCACTTGTCCACTTGCACGCCCTCCGCTCCTAGCACGGGGCCTGCTGGCAGGTACACAGTGGTTGGCTGTCCCTTGAACGTTTCTCACAGCCTTACCTGCTTCTCACTCAGCTTCCTCCACGTCCACTTCACTTCTTCCTCGGCTCCGGCTTCCTGTTAAGCCCCTTCTATGTTTTTCCTACTTCCCAGCCCTCCTTGTTCTCTCCTGCATGTGGCTGCCCTTGTCTATCCAGAGTCCCCAAGGATGCTAAACACAGTGAAGGAGGCACATGGAGTCACGGTCTCTGTCCCCAGGAAGCTGCAGACAGCTTCAGTGGCATCCGATCGAAAGGTTCACAAGACCCAACAATGTTCTTGGCCTACAGTCCAGAAGCATGTCCTAACAGCCTTTGTCTAAGGGCAGCCTTGGGCTCCATCCCCGGTCACACTCCCTCCTATGGCCCAAGCTTGACAGGACAAGTCTTCAAACTGTTACAGCCACCTCAGCCTTCCGAGGACGCTCACCTTCGCCTTAAGGATCCCCCCACAGCCTCGGCCTCTCCCGTTTCCACCTCTGGTTTCTTCTTTCTTCATCCTCTCTCCGCCGACGGGGAAGAATTTCCCAGACAGCCCTGATGCCCCAAGACACAAACCCTGACAGTGGCTTGAATGGGAAACTCTCCGTCTGAGTGAACCTTGGTTCTTTTTTTCCATCCTTGTTTCCTCCATGATGTCTGTGGTCTCAGCCACTCAGTCTTCCAGAAACGCCGAAAGCGGACTTCCTCTTATGTTCTTGCCGCCCACACTCGCCATCCCATTGCACCCATACAGCCACCAACCACCCTTGTTGCAAACCCCGGGGATGCCACTCCTGTCTCTCCCGTGCCCTGACTCCCCAACTCCCTCTACCCTTGGCCTTCCTGCCCAGGTCAATGGCTGCTGGCCAACTGTCACAGAATCTCCCAGCAAGGACATTCCAGCCATCCCTTCCATAGGGTTCTCCCTTCTTGCCCGGTCCTTCCCTTTTGCTAACCCTCCTGGGTGAGGTCTCCACAACCTCCAGAAGAGAGGGCAGGAGGCGGTGATCTTTGGGCAGGTGTTTGTCCTCTGCAGCTTTCGACTGTTGCCGCCAGAGGGCACCCAAGGCATTTCAGAAGCCCAGACCTGGTGCTTTGACCTGACAGAAGCAGGAAGCCCAGGTAACCTGATGGCTATCCTGAGCCTACTATTAGCCATCCTGGGCCCTGCTTCAGCTCCAGGCTGCAAGAGTACTTGGATCCTTACAAAGAAACTCCGGAAAAAGAGCCAGCCTTTTGCCTCCTCCAGAGAGCACATTCCAACCCTCC